TATTAATTCGAAAACAAATATAACAAAGACAGTTTAAGTGGATCAAAAAACAATAGTGAAAAACGGTAATGATGAAGAACAGATTCGTTTTTGATGGTTAAATTTATCTACATTTCAAATGCAGACCCAAAACAATTTGACTGAGTGCAAAAGAATTAGATCGATCAATACTCAAAATAATGTTCGACACAAATGGCTATGACAAAACATATGCTACAATCGCAGCAGTTTCATCCGGAGTATTCGACAAATATCGAAACAAAATTACAATGAAAATGATAAAATAATCGAAGATTCAAACACTCTATTTATTTTTCACAATGAAATAAAATAAAATTACAATTTCACAACATGCTACTTATCTTTCCAATTTCATGCTTAGCCATAATTAAATGTTCAATTGAATTGCAAAATGACACGATTTCATTCTCATTAATTTTGATGATCGACGCTTCCATATGTTGTGTTTCAATAATGTTCAGTTTTTATACCCGCTTATTTCGTTTGAAGTGGGAAAAAGCAATTTTCACACTTTCAGTTATTGTATGTCTCGTACAACAAGCTTGAAAATCATACAGTTCTTATTTCGATGTTGTGGAGTATTGAAAGAAGGAAAACGACGAGTTCAAAGCGAAATAAACTGAATGGAAGTCATTTGTGCGATAATCTTCATATAATCGGATTTGTGTGCAGGTCTTTTATCGTTGCAAAACAATTGCACCGCATTTTTCTCATTTTCTGGCAAATTCGCAATTTTCTTGCACACATATTTGTTTGTGCATGTGTGTGTGTGTGTGTTTGGTCGAAAATGTGATAATACGTAGGTTGCTCCATAATTTTTTTTAAAATGGTACTTATAGTGTTGCCCGATGTAAACCATTGTCATATTCGTAAAGTTTGATGTTTTGGTATGTATTCGTGCCCTGAACCTTTTGTCGTACGAACGCTATTTGTATTGTTTACAGTGACTGGTAAACTGCGACTCAACAAAAAAATGAATTTTACACGTGAAGATTTTCGTAAAATGATTTACTACGATTTTCGAAGTAAATTATCTCAACAACAGTGTTTCGATCGACTTCATTTGGCCTTTGGCAATGAAGCACCAACCCTTCAGACAATTTATAACTGGTACCGAGAATTCCGTTGCGGTCGTAGTTCGCTCAAAGACGAGTTTCATACAGGTCGTCCAAAATCGGCTGTTGTGCCACAAAACATCGATGCTGTCAGAAAACTGATTATGGAAGATCGTCATGTGACCTACCGTGAGATTGAGGCATCTTTGGGCATTTCATCCCACAGCATACATACAATTTTGCATGAACATTTAGCCGTAAAAAAGATTTGCTCTCGTTGGATCCCACATAAATTGACCGATGAACAAAAAATGGCTCGTGTGAGTTGGTGTAAAGAAATGCTCAAGAAATTCAATCGTGGTGCTTCAAAAGACGTTAATAAAATCGTCACTGGTGACGAATCGTGGATATATGCGTATGAGCCCGAAACGAAACAGCAGTCGACTGTATGGGTCTTCCAAAATGAAGATAACCCAACGAAAGTTGTTCGAGCAAGAAGCACTTCGAAGCGAATGGTCGCCTGTTTTTTCGGGAGAAGTGGTCATGTGGCAACCGTTCCACTAGAGGATCGTAAGACCGTCAATTCTGATTGGTATACCACCATTTGTTTGCCCGAAGTGTTTGGTGAAATAAGAAAAAACAACCACCGTCGCAAAATAATTCTTCATCACGATAATGCGAGCTCTCACACATCTTTTCAAACTACTCGATTTTTGACCGGTCAAAACATCGAACTGATGGGTCATCCACCGTACAGTCCTGACCTGGCACCCAATGACTTTTTTTTGTTCCCAAGCGTGAAGAAAAAACTACGTGGTCAACGATTTTCGACACCAGAAGAAGCAGTTGAAGCGTTCAAAACACACGTTTTGGAGATATCAGTTTCGGAGTGGCACGAATGCTATGACAAATGGTTTCATCGAATGCAAAAGTGTATCGATCATCTCGGGGAATATTTTGAAAAACAATAAAACCATTTTCGACAAAAAACAACTGTGTTATATATGTTTTTAAAAAAAATTATGGAGCAACCCTCGTAATGCATTTGTTAAAAAAGAATGGCACTGACGCCAGCAAAAACTCAGTAAGATGTGAATTTGTTTCGTCTTACAGAATTTTTGTGGCATTATGGCATTGTCATTGGCATCAACAGCTCTCATTTTCTTCATATAATAATGCATGTCGCATATTATGTCGTAATATGGATTTTGATTGGACGCGTGAAAACGCGATTGTAAATCATAAAAACAGCACATCCATTTTGTAGAAGTAGTGTGTCTCAAAATAAACAGAATGTCAGAGGAGCTATTGGCATAGAGAATGGCATTGTTCGAGCTTCAAATTACATTTGCTATTGTCACTTCCATTCACAATGATATATTTTCCATCACATGATTTAGATGTGAAATTTTCTTGCTTTGTATTGCATCGATTCGGTGAGTATTTTTATCAAATAAAACGAGCGAAGCGCAGTGTCATCAACTAGAAATTGGACAGGCACAAAGAGAAAAGACTGTATACTGCATTGAACGACACTGTGTAAACATTTCGTTTGTCTTCATAAAAATGTCATGTAACTTTTCACTGGAGAGATATTTTCTGTGGTCAACTTTTTCTTTGATTTTTGCTGATTTGCTGAAAGTTAAAAAATGGTTTAAAAAAAACCCAAACAAAAAGTGTCCATGCTTTTTTTATTGGCTTTAACTTTTGCAATTCGGATAAAATCAGAATAGTTTATGTTAAGAATAGCTTACAAAATGAAGGAAATTAAGCGACCGCATAAAAATCACATTTCAGTTAATGAAAATGGCACAACTTGTGCACAGTGAATGCAAATTTTAACTACTTTTTTGTGGAATTCAAATATACAATGGATTTAACCAATCACATAAAATTTACTTTAAACCAATAAAAAAGGCTCATTAAACTATTTTTACGATCACATCTATCTCGATTTATCGCTGCCATTGCATCACAAACGGTTGGGAATTCATTCGAATAGTTTGAGGCTGTTTTGTTGTGCTCGGTGATTGCAATGGCATCGATGGATTAACGATAATAATACATCTTTGCTGAATAAATTTCGGTTGGTTGATGTCATAATATTTAATTGAAAAAACGAAAACAATATAATTTGGTCGAAAAAGAGAGAAAATAAACCCGATGATGATGTGGTCGGAAATTTTATCGATCTCACAGCACCTGCTATGAATGAAAATCGTCGCGTATAAATTCGAAAACGGGACAGCATCGCACTTAATTTATGATTTCCTATGGCAGCTGATAAAAATGTGCATGAAAAATATGTAGCCGATAGCAAAGTAAATGGCATATATTGGTGTGAATAAACTCGATTCAAGTGGAAATGCGATGCCAGAAGGTCGCGTGCAATTGATTCGATCACTTGAATTATCTCAAATGATAGAATCGTTAAGTTTCCAACCATGAAGTCGTTGACACTTGAACGTATACAATAATAAATCGTTTATGAATTCATTTTCTTGCATCTTATATGCAAATAACTATTATTTGGAAGGTTTCTCACATAAAAATGGGGTGAATCAAGATTTTCGAGACTCAACTATACATATATTGCAATTGTGTTATATCAATTCTTCTTAATCGCATACAAAATAATTTATATGCGTAACAAGCCTCGAAAATGGTTGTTGCCGTCGTTGTTTTGATTTTTTTTCTTCTCATTGTTGTAGCTATTCATTTTCATAAATATGTGCCTTTATGTAATAGATGGTAAGCGTGTACGTGTACATGATATTGTACGCAATGGAATGGTTTATATGCTTGTGATGGTCAATAAATTAACGGTTTCATTCATTTGTTTATTCAATTTTGAATGGGCCATTGTTCATGCGCGTCGCTAAAATGATGAATTGTCGATGTCAGGCTTTTGAACGAAGAAAAAAAAATGCGCCTCGAGCACCATCTGAAATCACATTTTTCATGATTTGTTAAGCAATCATTTTGATTCCGACAAACTTCTGCAGGCGATATTTTGTTGTTTTTGTTTGGTTCGAGAATATTTCATATTTCTCGAAGGTTTATCGAAACGTTGTAAATGATTGAAATGCCTGGCATTCGCATCGTGTGCCTTACAGCACATATCAAGACGCTTCATGAAATATTGACTCGTTTATCAATTGCATTTTAAGTGCATAAACTGATTCACGGTGCGCCATGGCACACACCAAATGAAAGCGAAACTTGTTGAGCCGGTTTTTATATTATCATCAACCACAATATCGCGCATAACATTAAAAAAAATTGTCTCTTGACAAAACAGCATACACACACAGGCACACAAACAGAATCAAAGTGAACGAGTCACAATTAATTTCTTTTTATTGGATCTATTTTGACTATAAAAAGTAAGACTGAGAAAAGAGCGAATGCAGAAAATAAAACAAATCCATACAAAATGCATGCATAATTGCAATAGGTAAATGGAAAACGTCGACACATATCTTTCGGTCTGAGAAAGCCGAGAATAACGATAGTTTTTTTTCTCTGCTTAACTTTCAACTTAACCTATTGACGAGATCGTGCACATTTCTTTTTTGCTATTTTTTTTTAATTTTCATTTTCTTTCTTTTCGTTGCAGTATTATCGAGTTTTCAATTTCCATTTCGTTTACATGATATTAGAATGAACAGTATGCCATTTCGTTCGATCGATATGAGTTTGAGAGATAAATCTATAATAAAAAAATTATTGGTTAATGAGTACACAATAAATCACATTCATTAATTACTTTCTTTTTTTCAGTTTTTTTCTCTCTCATGTTAACGTAATTTTGCAGTTGGAACTTTTTTCAGTCATTTTCCATGTGTGTCAATAGAGGCAATCGCCTGGTGAAATCGTGCTACAATCAAAGGCAACTTCAAACGATTTACGATCGCTACTTACCAACAATTGTTGTTAAACAAAGAGCTCCAACGACAGCAAAAATCTTATTCATCATGATAAACGTATTGATTTCTGTTTTTTTTATTTTCGATTTGTTTCTCTCGAGATCACGATCTACACGTAACTTTCAAGTATTTAGACGTCGACGTTTTCTTTTCTTTTTTTCTTCAACGAAGACCACAAATAAAAATTACTTTGGAGGCGAAAAATGTTCCACGAAATCAAATTGACTGCACTTAAAATTCTTTTGAATTCATCGGAAATTGTTGCGTTCCTTTGTTCTTTGCTTATACTTATTATCGAATATTTTGAAAGTATTTCTTTTTTTGTTCGTTAAATTCCCAAAAGGAATTCTTTTTCTTTTTGTTTGGTGCTTGTAAAGTTGATAGGAATTTGGCCAATTTGTGCTCAGATATTGAATTGTTACTCGATCAAAGGAAAAACCGCACACCTTAAATGAATTGCGCGTCGTGCGTTTGGACACAAAATTTATCTTCAAATCTTTACTTTCTTTAAATGCAACCGGTTTTTTGCGTGGTTTTTTTTCTTCTTCTTTTTACTTATAGGAGAATCAACCACTTATTGCATAATATAATAAAAAGAAAGGTTTATTTCAAATACACTCGAGATTTTATAATTTAAAAACAAATAGACGAAAAACAAATGGTTGTGTCCACTTGAATAGATGGAGAAAAATCGCTTGATCACGATTTTAATGTTTAACTTTTTTGTTTTTATTACGGAGTTATTACTGTTTGAATTGTTTGCCAACGTCTTTTCTGTTGAACGCTCAATGGTATACTGATCAAAATAGAAGGAACGATCGCACTTCTTTCTCACAAGAAATCACAGACAGTAGTAGTGAACTGCCGTATGATCGAATATTTGTTGCCTTTTCTTTCTATGCACTTTTTCGCACCACTTGTCGCATAGTCACCGTCGAAGACTGGGGAAATACATGTGGTGTGTACGTGTGGAGACTCCCTTCTCTAAACATCTTTTTTTTTTTCTTATACATTCTGCTTTTGTGATTCAATGAGACTATGATATCATATTTAATGTTTGGATTTATTGGCATTCCAAAATTACGGTAATTACCATTAAATAAGCATAATTAAAATTGAACTAATTCATTACCTACGTATTAAAAAAATGCAATCATGTAAAATTTATGTATTTATTATTAAAAAAATACCGCATGGAAAATTATCATAAATTAAACAGCGATTTGGGTTATAGGAAAAAAAATTATCGACAAACCTTTGATGTGGCATACGCATAGGTCAATGGTTATTTGAACTAAATAGCATTATTAAATTTAATAGTCAAACGTATCGTTGAATATTTTTGTCAAGTTTCAATCGTTACGACGTTAAGACTTCTTTCTGCCTGTTACTTATGAATTGTAAAGAAAAGGAAGTGGAATAATATTCAGCAGAAAAGCTACAGCTAAAAAGCTTTTCTTGCAATTCAGCAATTCAAGTTTCCATAATTCACAGCTTTAGCAATGCCATGAACATGTTTACTACTCACGAGTGTCAAAATACAGCTGATACATATGTCTCTCTTTGTTCGCTCTCTGTTTCCACTCTTGGATAAATGTCAGTTGCGTGAGTAAATGAGTAAACCACGTAATGTTTAGAGAGCAGATGAGCAATTGCTGAATGTAAACAATGAAACTGACAATCATTTGAAGCATATCATGTATGGACTTTCCGATGACTAATGTTAGCGGTTGAACTTACTTTTTTGTAAAATGATTGATTTTTTGTAAATATTATATTTATAAGCAAAGAATTATGGTAACGAGCAATTTTAACCAAAAAAAAAAAAAAAAAATCGTAACGCTTTTAGTCATTTTGGAGATACAAATCACATAGTTTCACCAACTTCTACCATCGAAATGGGATGAAATTCTAAGTGTGCGCTTCTTTTGAATCCATCTTTGATGGATAATAGAAGAAATTAAATAATTTTGTTTAATAATAATTTATATGATTAAACTTTTCTTCCATATCAACGTATAATGAATTTTGAATAACATTCAAAAAAAATTGTAATGAGTAAAATACAATTTAGCGACAACTTCGTGGTTGTTAGTTGAATACAATACACAGAGTGGCACATAACTTGCCAAACGGCAACGCATATGACTGCCTATCTTACTCAAAGAGAGAATTTGGACCATGAAATAGGATACATAACGACGAGGAGTCGACAGGTTAAATTACATCTTGCATCGATAAAAAATTCTGAAAGAAGCAAAGGCTGCATAGCTCGGTGAGGATTTTCACGGCTTTCGTTCTACTTAGAATGTGAGAAGAGTTGGCTGGCGAAAACAATTACAAACAATAAGCCATTGCTTATAAACATCGGAGCAGTGGAAATGGCATCCAATTCACCAATTCAAAAAAGTAAAACGATGGCAGTGCGATTCAGCGTGAATGAAGACAGCACGTCTCAACACTGTGGCAAATATAAGAAGAAATTCCCGATGCTTACAAGAAAATATCATAATCTCTATATGCTTTCTCTTATGAGGGGAACATTCAATTCAATGTTGTCGGATTGCAAAGAGGAATTATCCTCCACTAGCCCATACGTTACCTCAGCTAATTTGAATTCAAAGCACACATTCACAGCTTGAAACGGAATGGAATTCAGTCGAAAAGAAGAACATCATTCGTTCAATTTGAGAAATATCATTTCTTTTTATTTAATTAGTATGCATTTAATCATAATAAATGTATTTAACTTTTCATTTTTTTATCTGTTTGTTTCCATGAAATTGATTCGAACAACAATCTAAACCTAAAATACGAAAGAAAAAAAGAAGTACTTGGGATACAATTTGAAATGAATTTCTTACAGAAAACAAATCTTTCGAATAAAAAATAAAATAAATTTCGAATAAATGGAATAAAAAAATACCACTGTTTTTTTGCTATAAACAAACTAAATCGTTTGTATGTATGTTAATCGCTAAAATTCTCTGTCAACGAAAAAAGAACGGAATAAAAATTGTGTGTGAAAGGGGGCGTAAAGCATATAAATCAACCAATTTATACAAACAACATTCAATAAATGGATTCTATTTCCGTTTTTTTTTTTTAATTCAACGATATTGAGCTCTTTGTCATTCAGTTTGTCAATAAATTGTCTGCATTGTGATTCTAAATAGTTTTTTTTTGGAATGGTTTAATGATTCATTTTTGTTTTAACTACTATTTATATATTTCTAACATTATTCAATAGAGTTTTTGTTTTGTTTTTTTTTTTTCTCATTATTTTTGTTTTCAGATTAATTATACAATTTGTATGTAGTTGGTTTGTCAACAGAAAGAATCTAATACATCTGAAGTTTTGCGGAATATTCTGCACATAAGAATATTAAGCTTGTTGCTGCTTCTTGGCATCGGAATTAAACAAAATGAAGAATGAAGAAAAAAAAATAATCCATTCAATTTATTTATAATCTAATTTGTTCCTAAACACATTTAATTTCACTTTGTTTTTTTTTTTCATATATTTTTTTGCATTATAATTTCTTGTCTGATTTCGTTATGCTAAACAGTTCCTAGTTGTGAAAATTTGTTTGTGTGTGTTATTTTGTCGTCGTAGTCATCGCAATGCCATTGAACACCTTAAGTTTACTGTTGTTTGTCACGACTCATCGCTTTTATTTATTTATTTGTGTTTTATATTTTTTTTTTCTCGATTACTCTTATTCTTATATATTCAAAATAATCACGATTAAAAAATGTATATTTTTACAAAAGAATTCATCATTTCATTCCGAAAACAGTACAACGATTACACATATCTGTGACGGTTTTGTCAACGGGATAGGAGACCATTTATGTGTGAATTAAGTTTTCAGCTTAAGAGAAAAACGACAGAAAAGTATATCCATACGACATTGAAATCGAACCAAAAATATTTTGAGATTTTACAGAAAAATTAAAATAAAAAAATAAAATCGAACACGACGAAATAAAACGAAAAATACACATTTTCATCGAAATGATATTAAAAGGGAATTGCATTTTAAGTAGATTTTAGTCACAACTAGAGTGTGTAAGTGGGTGTGTGTATTTCGAGAATATTAACAGTGCATTTCGGCTAATTATTTATTTATTTCTTTCATTTATGTACACAATTTTTTTCATCTTTTTCTTATTTTGTTTTCTTTCACAAAATCTATGAATTTCAATCAGTGCATTCATATATTTCATTTACTCATGTTCAAAACATAATTCGGTTCTCGTTCGTTTGATTCTTTCGCTTGCCAAAAGAAAATGGAGAACCTATTGCAATATTTACTCGATTTCTTTTACTTTCCAAATCTCAAAATTTGTAAAGACAATTTGTCGGATATCGAAAATTGGTTGATGCCTATGTCGATTCAACACCCTTAACTCTGAAGCTCTAGTCTTTCATTCATTTTATATTTGCACAATTTCGGACTAAGGATTTATTTTAATTATTTTCTTCAGCTATATTTATCTAAAAAACAAATCATTCTTCATTAAACATAATATTTGAATTTGAAATTTCAATTCAATTGAGTGTTCACAATATAAATCAGTTATTTTCTTTTAAATTGCCTATAAACGCACGAAGTATACTTTCTCTCTCTCTCTCTCTCTGTGTGTTAAGTACATATTTTTTTAAAGGAATAGCACAAAAGACAAAATATATAATACTCATAGTTTTTTATGATTGCCGCAAATGTTTGTGTTACTTCGACCAATCGCAAAAAACGAAACGATGATCACATGCGCTCCTAATACGTATATTATTGCTCAAATGAGTTATGGCGTTGTGTCTTATGCCAGTGTTCCGTTTACTATTAAAATTCGGCCCAATTAATTTCATATTCAAATAAATATTGGCTTTTGTCATACTGTACAATGTTTGCATTTTTTGTGAATTTGTATTTTTTTAAACCCCTCAAAGTGGGTTGTGTACAGTCTCGTTTACAAAATTGCAGTTTGGATTCCGCTTTAATCATACATTTCATTTCCTTTATTGCGGCTAAAGTGTTGGGTCATTTAATTACTGTGCACCCAGCTAGCCGGTACCTATGGGAGAATCACAAAAGAAAAGTATAGAAATTAGCACAAAATAATGCAAACATATAATGAAAATGAAATTGCAAAAGAAAGTGAATTTAGATATGTAAGAGGAAAGCAAGCATGTACCCATTGTGGTTCTCTCTCCAGTGAATTTATCTCGGCCAACAGCTGATGATATGCACGTTCAGTGTCATTGTTTATGATTATCATATCGAATAAATGACCCCATCGAGCTTCCATATCACGTGCAGTTGCTATGATCTCTTTCAGGTCTTCATCCTGTAATGTGAAAGCAAATAATATATTTTTTTATTACAAAATAAAATGCACTGGATATTATTATGAAATTTATTTTAACAATGGGATGCGGATATACCTTGTATGGCTCGTGGTTGCGTTCTTTCTTTTGTCGTAATTTTTCGAGACTAGGTGGTGCCACTAGGACGACGTATGGCTTTAAATCGCTTGCACGCAGCAATTTCAAACTTTGCGGGTGTAAATTCAATACACAGATCTTTCCACTAGACACAACAGTACGTATTGCTTCAAGGGACGTGCCTGGAAATTAAAAAAAATAAACAATCCATTGAATTTTGATGATTTTAACTCGAGTAATTGACAAACTAATGTCCAAATTTTGACACTCACCGTAATAGGCTTTTTCATATTCACCATGTTCTACAAACTTACGAGCTAAAATGTCGGATTCGAATTGTTGACGCGATATAAAATGATAATCTTGGCCAAGAACTTCGCCTTCGCGACGCAATCGAGATGTATCTAAATGTTAAAAGATCGCAAAATGAAAAACGGTTAAAAGGTTTCATTTTTAATAACTGTGAATATATAATAATAGCTTACGTGGCACAGCTGCTGCAAATCTATCAGAATCGGCCATCAGTCTTTGTCGTAATTCATGACGTCCAATGTTTGGCGGGCCAATTAAAACAATCGGTCGTTTATGTGATGCACGCGGATAGTATAAAGCTACTTCTTCATATGTGAGTATTTCTTCTGGATCAGGTTCATCTGGTGTGGTTGTTGCATATAATGGATATCCAGCTTCGCTGCTGGTTTTCTTCATTTTCTTTTTACGTCCTTTGCGTGCACAAAGCAAAGTCGATCCTTTTGCACCTTCCTTACTTCGGCCGCCACGTAATAGTCCGGCTTCGCCAGCGATTGCCAATTTCATTGATTCACGTTGATGCTGGAATGATTGGCTCGGTATCAAACCGGCCAACGTTTGATCTTCTTCACCTTCACGATACGCTTGCCACCAATTTGGATCGTCACGCGATATGACATGTAGTACATCACCTTTCTGAAAGCTTATGCCCAATTCACGGCACGGTATATACAAATCATCTTCGGGATCATAATCGAAATGGGCACGAACATGAAGTACAGGCGGATCACGTCCATAGCCACCAATTGGCGGATGACATGCAGGAACAATTAAGAAAACTAGCTGTCCAGTCATGGCACTTAATAAATCATAGACATCATTAACCGATTTTCCTCGCATTCCGATTCCATTCACTTCTAAAATTTCATCGCCTTCATGTAGTAAACCGGATTTTTCAGCGATACCACCTCGTACAATACGACCGATTACCACCGCTTCGCCCTCATTTCGTACAGTAGCACCGAGAGGTTCAGCTGATTTCTCAATTTTGATGATTCGAATATGGTCCTGATTGTCGTGTAAAACACCTAACGTTAAATCTCGTTGAAGCTGTTGCTATAATCATTAAAATGAAAATGTGAAATGAAATGTGAAACGAAACAGAGAGAGAGAGAGAGAGAAAGAGTCGTTAAAACCGAATTGCATTTTTAGTGGAATTAATGTCATTGCAAGTGGTAAAATCTATTATTAACTTACATTTAATACGTTGTTATTGGCGATATTTTGATTTGAAACGGTATCGGATCCATCACCTGCAACATATAGAGATGGACCAGGTGTTCGATCCGTTGCGTTTGCAATTGAATCATGCGCTTCAAGCAATCCTTCCATTTCGTAGGTTGATTGTAAATTACAAAATTCGATGGCATCCGGTGAACTAGAGTGAGCCAATAGCTCAACGCACTGTACACACATGAAACCGAGCATTAATGGCAATGGATTGAAGTTCGATTGCAAGAGAGAAAAGTATAAAAAGATTTATGCGTCAATAAAATGCAAGGAAAATTTTAAAAAAGGATGATGATGACGATGACATAGTACTATGTTAATGGTAAATATACATACTTCTTTAGCCAAAGCTTTGGCATCCATGCGAATGGCATTTTGTGTACGTGGCCGACGGCGTTGTAGAACTGCGCTTCGTATATGAAGTGCTCGTGCAACGACTGGTCCTAACAATAAACTTTGAACATTTGTCACACGTCCTGCCAACGAAGCCAAACCGTGCTTATTCAATTGGCCTTGAAGTTGTTGCAATGCTGCTACTAGTTCATTGTAGCCTATTGAGAGGTAACAAAAAACGTGAAATATTAACGGAAAATCCAAATTCAATAAAAAAATACACATGAAAAATGCGCAATATGAAAAAGAAAAATTGGAACGAATGCGAGAAAAATATTCCACAAATTCAATCATTTCCGATGATCTGTCGCATATTTTATTGTCAAAACCATAAAAAGAAAGCACAACCGCACACAATTTCTGCACGAAAGTAGTTTAAAAGCCATACTTGTTGTATTCAAAACCGATTTTATTGCGTTCATTCGAATCAACATTTTAAATAGAGAGAAAAAGAGAGTGATACACGGAGCATATGCATGAAAGAGACAGACACACATGGTATAATGGTGATATGGGAAAAATCGAGTGGAGATGCAAAACAATTTAATATTGCACATAAATAATGGCAAAGCACATCAGTCAAGTGTGGCGGCGGCAACTGTTTGCGAGTGCTGTCACATAAAATGTTCAATTGTTGGTGGTGAGTTCATGTGTACGGGCGCTAGTGCGGGAAAACACCAATAAAAATGCATATCAAATTAAATTCAGCACGTATCTGGAAATGCTGGGTATCATGTCAAAGGAAAACGCAATGAACATAAATTTTCATATAACAATTTCTTTCGTTCAGATGATGAATACATATTTTATTATGTTTTTATCAACAATGTTTCTCATCAATGCTTTTCCCATTGTGAATCATTGCTTCCGCTCTGTTTCTCTTTTTTTTATTTTTCTCTCATTATATTCGTTGGTTCGATGTTGTTTGCAAGAGAGCAAGTGTGCTTGAAAATTTAAAAAATATTGTCAACACTGTTTCCATTTCAAATAAAAGTTGTTGTTTTATTTCATTCCCTCTCTCAGTCATTGAATAACTTATTGTCATATAGGGAGACGCAACGCGGAATACGACGTGATATATGTATTTGTTTATACTGGAACAACAGCACGCGCTTGTTTACACTTGTGCACACAAACACACAAAAAAGAGATACGAATAAATATAATAATGAACACAAAACGGATATCCTCTTTTGTATATTTTCCCGTTCACTGCACCTCGTTAACTCTAGCGCAATTCAATGTCGCTTACTTCAGTAATATAAATATTTCTTTTGCACTCGGCCAAATTTAGTGGCAGAACACAAGGAAATCATTTATTGAATGGGGAGAGGAACAAAAAAAAAATCATGAACAGCCAAAGAGGTTAAAATTTACTCGGTTTACTTTTCTTATTCAATAAACTACACAATAACGATAGTAGTTTGAAGTACGCACTTTAGGTCCATTGAAAAATCGATGCTTGAATGAAGAAATAAAATATATTCTATATAAAATAAAAAGTGACGAGATAGAGATGGAGCAAAGGCTAAATGGTTTGCTCTCCCAGAGTTATCTTTCGCTCTGTTTTCTCACTTGTTGGGAAAATACAAAGAAAACAAGCTTGTGGCTAAAAACGATGTGGTTAATTAACACCCTCGAAACTGAGTGGCAAAACCAATAAAAGCGATGGAGTGCAAAAAGTGAAAACGGATTTTTTTCTCTCTGAATGTAGCAATTTTAAAATGAGCGATTGTACATGTTTTCATGGTTTTGTGGTTGAAAATGCGCGTGCGATTCACTTACCCAAAATTCTTTCAACATCTTCATCGGCGATGAATGCATCGTTGTCAATACCAATGGGTGGTCGTTGCTGTTCACTAGCCAACGGATGATTATCCTGAAGTGCTTGTAGTTTACGTGATCCACGTAAACTGGCACGCAAAAATTCATTCTGTTGTGCTATACGCTCCTCTTCTTCTCGACGCCGTCGTAATTGCTCCTGAAATGAATACACACAAAACGAAAACATTGCAGAAATGGTTAGTATATGAAACGCATTGTGAATAACTTTAGATACTAAACGGTAACTTGCGTTGCCTTAATATTTGATGCCTGGTTTGGGTATTTTCTTTTTATTCGACTATTTTATGATTTCATTAAATTTTCACGCGAAACGTTTTTCGTCTTTTCTTCGACGTTGCGGAAAGTCTGTTTGTTTATGCTCTTGTGCTACACCATATTTTCCAACCCTCTGTAACACTACTCACATTCGCTCTAAATATACTTGCCTTATATTCTTCGATGCGCTGTGCATTGTGGTCATAATACATGAGGTTGTTAACACTTTTACCATTCGATATTAAATGGCCATTGTTGCTTGGACCATTATTATTGTTGTTGATGCTATTACTACAAAATTGGCCATTTATTGAACTTGTTTTGTTCATCACCATTTTTGATGTTCTCGCTATCTCTGTATAGTTACTACACTTCTTCGTTTCACTATATATAGCGATTTTCCGCTTGTTTATTTCGTTCTCTTTTGCGTTTGTTTAAATACTTTTGTTACGTTCTTTCCATCACTCACAATTTCACTAAAAGAGTCTTCAAATCATTTCATTCTCCAACAAAGTGTGTTACATATTTCATTTCGTGTCGCTTCAAAACTGTTTCGAGTGATTTACAACAAAATTTTTATTTTTATTTTCCATTCGATTTTCGATAAATTTCGAAAAGAAAACTTATTTCCATTCTTGTGATGTTTTAACTAATTACCATATGAACCAATGAAGCGGTTTCAAGAGAAAAAAAAACAAATGTAAACATTGATGATGACAAAGCCTCGCTTGAAAGACAGCGTAGGCTCTTGCATTCATCGACATATACTCAACAACAAAACCTAAACGCTTATTTTGATATATCTGTCATAGTAAAGAGAGATGAAAAAAGAATAAACTTTCAGAAAACAAATATACAACTCTTCAGTCCATAGTTCTGTGTGGTGTGCGCACACGCCCATATATTCTCGTTACTTTCAAAAACCAGTCGAAACGCGATCGTTGTGCGTTCATTAGCGATGCGATTGTGTATGAAAAGAAAAATGATGCAAATCGTGCCCAAGAAAGTTTTTCGAATTAATTAACTAACAATAAAAAGAACGTATGAATTGAATTTCGAACTACAAATTCTTTGATTAGGCAATTCATTATATTGTCTGAAAAATATCGACACGCTTTTTATGTGCGTCGCAGAGAAAAAAAATAATACAAATCGTCTGCATGCGTATAAATTTGATGTTCGGTTGTGAATCAAATAGAATCAATTGAAAGTGTTATTTGGTATTATTTTATTATCTCTGGCCACTGTTTTATACGCAAGCACACAAACACATTTTAATCTGATAATCAATTTGGAGTAATCCCCGATATAAACCATACGACCGGTGTAAATCTAATGCTTCACATTTTTGCGCCATTCTCTGCGTGTGTACCATGCTTTGGCTTTTGAATGGACGCGAGAAAATAACACATTTTATTTATCGCATCGAAACTTTAAATCCATTGACACACATTTGCTCACAATAAATTGCCTCAGTTCATTCGCTTCATACAGTCTCTCGATATATCGTTGCTTCGGCGGTTATGTGCATGCAATGTTCGGACACACTGAAAGAGAACATTTTATTAACCGAGCTTGGTTTGAAGTGGAAACAAACATATACATACATAAAACCTTATGTGTAGTTAATTGATTGGCCATTGGTTTTAAAATGTTTCGAGAAGAAATTCGATTTTATAAATGTCGATAGATTTCTTTCGGCTTCCACATTTGTTGAAATACAAAACAAATATGGCAAAAATAACAAACATAAAACGAATCACTCACAACGACATTCACAAATCCAAGAGTAAGAGAGCAAGAGAGGGAGATGGAGAAACCGGAGTTTTCGCATTCATTCGCCGCACCAACACTCGATTTGCTTGAAAATTGCAGAGATGTCAATAAATATATCGGAATATATGAATTTGAATTAGACGAAATTGCCCAAATAAATGTGCATTCCAATGTTCAGGCATATAACTAGACGCTTGCATATCATAACAGCCGACCAAATGCATACACACATTCACTCACATGTAGATATAAACGTAGACATACAGTTCCAAGCGATGAAGTTGGCAAATAGTACGAAATGACATAAAGTGCAAATAGTTGATGTTAATGTGCACCAGAGTAAGACTCGCATTGATCTATAGCACACTAGTTTTGCCGATGCAAAATATAACATTTGCATAAAATTTACCATCCAGGTAATTGAATGCGAAATGCTAAGCAAACATTTATTTGTATGTATGAATTGATGCAAATGTATTTTAATTCAATTTTCGTATTTTGAAGCATTTTGCCGCCACACGAGTGAATGAGTTGAACTGCAACAACGATAAATTGTTGGCCACAAATCAAATCGATAATTTACTTTACAAAGCACTATTTTGACCTTATTCCTCACATTACTACAATTTTCACCCAATTTAAAAACCACTTCACGAATTTTGTTTTTGTTCACAAATGATAAATATTCAACTTATCACCACCGACATTTTCAATCGACATACGGAGAAATATACAGAGCATACGTTGATATATTTCTATTTCAAATCGATATTTCGATTTTATATATATATATATATCGGCTTAAAAAGATATTAATCATATTAGTGAATGACTTTTTTTAAGCCTTGCACGACCACTTGGCGCCATTATATCCAATAAAACAATTCAATTTTTTTTATATATTCACGGCTCACACCGTGTGTGTTTCTCATTTCTTAAAGTATGGGCATTTTTTTATTATCGCCAAAGCGAAGACAAAAAAAGTGTGGAGAAATCACATGATCACGAAATATTCAAGTCATCATCGTTAATGACAACGATCATAAGTCACAGCCGACCATACAAATTGTAGTGCCTGTCACATTTTTCAATAAACATTTTTTTTTTGTCTTTTGACTTTCTTGTGTTTGTATGTGAAATATATATTGATCACATCGGATCGAATTGTGTCTCATTTTCAGGAAATGGCTTTTTAGCTTGTTGTTATTATCGTTTGCAATATGTCATCTTTGGAACGTTCACGAAGTGGTGTGCGGTTCAATTAACGCGCACACAGCAAATACTTGCATTTTTTAAACAAAAAAGAAAGATATTTCTCTGTTCACGTAGTCCATTGCTCAGTTTTATTTGTATGCAAAAAATAAAATAAAATTCACATTCATTGAATATTTTTGCATGGAATGTCAATTAGCTATACGAAAATTGTATGTGTTTATTTTCGTTTTGATTAGTATTCAAATAATGTTTTGTTTTTGCCACTTCCATTTTTGGTGATTCGAAACATCATGTTCGCCTTTATGAAATAAATTGACTGAGCACAATGGGCAATATGTTGTAAAACTTATTGAAATCTAATGCATAATCGAACGCATTAAGTTCAAAAACAGTCGCACTCGCGATTGTCACATGATGAAATTTCAATCATTCACTCCGCACTGTCAAGCACATTCAACAGGATTTCACATATTATTTTTTGTGCTGTCGATGTTCACGATTCATTCGAAAAATACCAATTTTTTTGCCCACATACTTTCATGCATTGGTTTTTTCTCTCTTTTTTCGGGTGCAATACATTTTTCCAAGTGGATTTCGTGTACGAATGGCTGAATAAATCGGTTTATTGCGCAGTACCACCAGACCGAAATCAAATATCACTCGATGCGGCGCAGCTTAGCCAAATCGTAATCATTTTCGCAATTTTTTTTTACCACATGCAATACTTGAAGTATTTTTTTTTATCGTATCGCTTAAAAAAACTCGTTGTACATACACGTATAAATGTGTGTGTAAATATTTTTTGACGAACCATTGCACTTTTTGGCAGATACTCATATTCACTTCACTTCTTTGAATTTAAGTCTGAATACTTTGGGAAAATGAACAGAAGAGAGAGAAAAAATGCGGCAGAAAAGCGAAAAGAAAAAAAAGAAAAAAATTGGAATATGCAATTTAAACTTGTATGTATGGCTCGATGCAAAAGTGTTTTCTTTCAAGCTGCTGCTCATATCGCTCAACAGCAGACGTCGACTTATGCAATGGATGATTTGAGGATCGGTTATTATATGCAGAAAGTGTGCGCAATGATGATGTTGTTGTTGTTGCTTACGGTGGATGACACAAATACAGAGAGGCACAGAGCCCCCATTCAGAGAAGAGAGTTCACATGCAAAATTAAACGAGATATTGGGATTGAATGAAAGAACGAGAGAAAAAATTTAAACAGTGAATGGGTAATTAAAACTTGCAAATGATTAGTTTCCATTGATGTTTGCGTCAGTGCATTTTAATGTCTGAATTATTTATTCGTGAGCTATTGCATCTCAAATGTAAAGCGATTTTAATGCGTTCATATCTCACAATAAACAATCGAAATCCATCTCACCGCTTGTGTTGGATGGATTAAAATCCAAACTTTTCGAAAATTGCTTGTAGCTAAATATCGCAACGAGCCAATGCAGATGTGCACAACTTGAAGCTGTAAAGTGAAACAACAAACTGATTCATGATGATTCTAACGTTCAATAAGAGGGAGAGATAATAACAAATATGCAGGTAAGCATTAAACATTAACACGAAACACTCGTGATAGCGTGAATAGCAAACTGCCGATTACAGCCACGATGCGCTATTTTTATTATTGGAAATCATTCGGTATGATTCCATACGGATTTGCTTCAGTGCATTTTCTATTTTTGTGAACATCATCGATTATATTTTTTTTCTCGCTTTCCATTAAAGTGCCATTTCATGTGGTTGGGCGAAGGATTTAGGTCGATCAAAGCAGCAACAAATAACAGTGTATGTGAAATTCAGAACTTTTGATATTTTAGTTTTGTCACACTCAAAATCACTGAAACGTAATAATCGATTGCCGTGAATCGGATA